CACGCACATGCTCTCTCTCTCTAATTAACATTTACAAAACATTTTTAAAAAGTCTTGTGACTTAGAGTGTATGTGGTCTATTTTTAGTTTATCACCTGCCCTATAGACCTATCCATTTGCCCATATGGAGTCTAAAGTCCTCAGGGGGTTCCCGTAAGAAAGGAGGGTGATCAGACAGAGTGTTTAGAGACAAGAGAACACCAGACAGGCAGTGCTTTGCTTAGGGACCAGGACATCTTTAAACAAGGATATTGGGGCAAAGGAATCAAGTAACTCTCAGTTGATATCCTACTGGATGGGATCAGAGCAAACCATTGGATTTGGGTTTCTACAATTCTGGCCCCAGTAAAAGGGTCCAGTTGAATTATGGGACCCTGAAGGGTTTAGCAGATTTCCAGAATCTTATGGATTCCAATCTTCCTGGAGAGAGTAGATTACTGGTATTTGCTTCATTCATACATATGTATGTGTGTCCATAGGTATGTATGTACACACACACACACACACACAAGTTCCAGCCTCACATATTTCTCCAGAAGGGAAGATTTAAGGAAATGGTAAAAAAACATCAGAGTTCCTTAAAGCCTTCTGGGGAATCATCTTCTGGACTTGGCCCCCTTTCCTCCTGTGAGATTTGCCTCTCAAAGCTCGAAATTCTTTTCACAGCTCCTGAGAAGGTGAAAGCCACCGGAGAACAGTCTTGTATTGTCTTGCTTGCCTTTGGGAGGCAAGGTGGGAAGATTGAGGAGCTGGAAGGCTGGGAAGGGGGGCCGGAGGGAGGGGGTCCATTCTCCCTGCACCGCCAATCTGGCAGGCCCAGGTTTTAAAAGCTCCAGAAAATGTAGCACTTGAAAATGTAGCCAGGAGAGAGTAGACCCAGGAGGCCCAGAACTAGAAGCAAATGTGGGTTTTCGGTGTTATTCTTGTCTTTGCTAGGCCAATCACTCCTCCTCTTGTTCTTGCTGCCTGGAGCGGAGATTTTAAAGGGTAACTCTCTCCTTGCTGAAGCCGAGCTATTGTCTGCCCAGGACTTCCTGTATGAAGGAGGGAATCAGGAGAGAGGACCAGGTCCCTATCTAGCCACCTCCCTACCAGAGCAGGCTCAGATTGAGTGTGTCCTCGGCGGGTGAGTGGCCCTTTCTCCACCACAGTTTCGCTGGTGGCACAATCAGCCTCTTAGAAGATGCTAATGAGATTCTGGTAGAGAGCTACAGAATCATCTGTGGCAGATGGTAGAAGGTTAGGTTTTGATTTCTCCTGTTCCACTGTTGTTTTTCTCTAAAAATGTGCTAACCAACGTGCAGCTTGCTTGTGCTTGATTTTGACAAAGCCACAAATTAATTTCTTCATCCCTTTCATCCATCCTTCCTGTAATCATAAATATCTTTTTAGAAATGAACGCAAATCACTCAGCTTCTTCCCGCTGCCCCTCCCCTGAAGTCTGTTTTTTTTTTTTCAAACCGAAGAAATCATTTAAATTCTCTCTGAACCTATGATGATAATATACACCAATGCTACGAATGCCCTCTGGTAATATATAATTTCATTTTCTCACTGACTCGGGCAAGGCTCGGTTATCATGTTTGGGTTAATTTACACTCCCTCTATGGACAGATATAAAATCAAAAAACATCATAGGAGCCAACAAAGGGAATGCTACCATTTATTGAATACCTTCAATATTCCAGGCACCATGCTAAGTATTATATGGACAATATTTTAGCTACTCGTCACATTAATCCTATAAGGAGGCACTATTCTCAGCCCCATTTTATAGGAGAGGAGACTGAGACTTGGAGAAAGAGACTTGTCCAAGATGGGATGGCCAGGAAGTGACAGAACTGGAATTCGAAGTCAGGGAGTGTCATCCAAAGCCAGTCCTTCCACTACCTTCTTCTGTTTGCCATGATGAATTTCAGTTGCACCCGTGCCGATGTTCTCTAGGACTCAGGGGCACTTTTCCTGATTTCAAACCCTTGTTTGGAGACTAGACATCAAGAGGTTTATTTACGGTGAGAGAGGCTGACATGACTTACAGATGCATTGGCTTGGCCTCAAAGATGGAAGATGGACCCACCATTTTGCAAATGAGGAAATTAAGGTCCAGAGAGTATAATGTTTCCGTTATCTATTGCTATGTGACAAAGCACTCTAAAACTGAGCAGTTTAAGCCCTGAAACGATTTCATTGCTCCCAAATCTGTGGGCCAGGACTTTGGGCAGAGCTCAGCTGTGTGTCTCAGGACTGTCCCGTGTGGTGTCAGCCAGGTTGAGCAGACACCCGAGGGGCCTTGAAGCTGGCTGCTGACTCTCTGCCCAGCTGGGTAGCCTGGACCTTACGTGGTGGCTCCAGCTCAGAGAATACAAGGCCTCAGGCCAGAACCAGAACAGCAATCCTTCTGTCTCCTCCCATTGGTCAAAGCCAGTCCCAGGGCCAGCACAGATCCAATGGCATTGACTCTACCTTTGGATGAGAGGAGCAGCACATACAAATAGAGATGGCCTGTGCATGGTGGCCTTTACAGACAACACCACACATGGTGACTTGTCAGTGGCAAATATCCAAGGGCGAGGCCAATATTATAGAAAATCTCACTGTGGCAGCTTTCCTGGAGGGGAAAAGATTCCCTTCAGAATCTGCATTCTATTTGGACCCCTTCAGCCTGAACAGGTAAATGTGAAAGGTATTTTAGTGGGGATGGGGGTTGTGACACTCATCGAATTCTGCGGGTGATGATATTCTTGTGGGTCCGTGTTGAGTCCAGTGCCCACATCGTGCACTGGGGGGAAGGGAGTGGCACCTCCCCTGATCTGGGCAAAAGAAAGGGGATGGGGGTGTTTGCCCTACCAAGGCCACAGAAGTGATGTGTCCAAAGATGTTGCAGCGACTGCCAAGATGATCAGAGCAGAGAAAGCCCAGAATGTTCACCCAGTGAGCCTCTAACAAAAACCAGATGGGGGCACCTGGGTGGCTCAGTCGGTTAAGTGACCAACTCTTGATTTCGGCTCAAGTCATGATCTCAAAGTTCATGGGATTGAGCCCCTCGTCCTGCTCTTTGCTGACAGTGTAAAGCCTGCCTGGGATTCTCTCCTTCCCTCTCTGCTCTGTCTCTTTCTCTCTCTCTGCCCCTCCTCTGCTTGCACACACCCTTTCTCTTTCAAAACAAATACACATTAAAAAACAGACTGAAGGCCTAACCAAGAAGAATTGAATGAGAAAATAAAGGAATTTCAGGCCTTAACTAGCAGGGCATTTGGGATCATTTTGTAAAGCTCATCTACCCAGTTGAGGAAGGAGAAAACATAAAATCAAGGTCAAGTGTAGGAATATGTACCTGGGAAGGAAAAATAAAGTGGATTATGACCAGACGAAGAATAATTCAAACATAGCGACTGTTAGAGCAAGAGGGAACCTAAGAGATCAAAGTTCGTCCTAACCCCACTTTATGCATAACAAAATTGAGGCCCAAGAGAAAACAGAACTGAAGTGCCTATCCGGTCTCCTACAGCTTAGTCATCCTTGCATTGATAATGAGCACTTAGCAGGCACTGATTAAGCAGCAGGCGTTTTGCTGGGTGATGGAAACTGAGGGTCTAGGGGAGAAGGAGGTCAGGAAAAGCAATGATCACGGAATAACGCAGGGAACACTGGGCCAGCAATGCTCAGGGTAGACCGTTGGGGGCCCCACACCTCAGCTCCAGGCTCCTTGCTCCCTCGATGCCCCCGGGCTCTGTGTAGAAGAAAGCTTGTTTTTAAAACTCCAGCCTACTGAGCTGCCTGCCCATTGGAGGTACATCAGAGCCCTGCTCTTTAAAAGAAAGCGCCATTTTCCAATCTCATGTACTTTAAGGAGAGAGCGTCCTAAATGTGCCTTGTACTTGGGCAGCTCCTAAGAGAGCACTCGCACATGTCGGGAATAGCACAAGGACACTGTCTGTGGTCACCACCACCAGTCCTGAGGGAGGCCATGAGACTTAAACCAGAGCCTCTGACTTCCGATGCCACACGAGACAGATTCTGGCTGGAGCCCCCCACCAGCATGCATGGAGGGCCCTTCACCAAGTCATAAAGTTGGTTTAAACAGGCTGTTTGACCTAATGGGAACCCAAGAGGTTTGGGAGGAAATGGCAAGTTGCTGGTGGCTTCTACCTTCCACAGACTTCAGTGTCCCCTCTCTTCCTCCAGAGGTTCCCAAAGGTTGCTGCCGCTTGGAGTCGCCAAGGAGCTTGAAAAATCCCTGTGTGATTGTTTTCCACCTGTGTGATGGAGTGAGGGGAGCACAGACGTGGGTGTTCCTTTACTCTGCAAGCCTCTGGCTGCCCATCTCTGTCTCCAGTGGGAGAAATCACAATACCAAACACCCTCGGAGGGCAACCGCTGATCAGAGGGCTTTACAGAATTGCCTTCCTTGGTTCTCATGACCATCCTTTGAGCTAGCGATTATAACTCCATTTTATAGATGAAGAAACTGAGGCAGCGAGTTTAAGTCCAGGTGCCCGAGGTCACATGACTAGCAATAGGCTACAGCCTCGCACCGCCTCCAGGGAAAGCCTGCACACTTAACTCTGCCCAGTGGCAATGAGACAGGGGGAAGTTCCCCAGGTATAGTCGTCTTCTCTCCTGGGTCCATCCCATTCCCATTCTCTCTGTCTCCTGGGATCCTGACCCTTGACGGCCACTGCTCTCCAGCCTTCTGTGACTCTCACCACCTGCTCAGATCACTCTTCCTGCTACCGCAAGCGTCTGCCTCCAGCAGGACTATTCTCCCAGGGACCCGGGGCTCTCATGGGGACCCTCCGTATCTCCTGTCCCTCCATCCCAGCCCCCTTCCTTTCTGCTCCCCACCCCCACCCTACGGAGGAGTTTTGGCTTCAGCCCAGCAGTCTTCCAATAAGGGCCCAGAGCAGGGAAGAGGGAGCCTGGAGCCTTTACTTGTCATTTCCTGGATGATTCTAACACGAGGGCCGACGGAGAGCTCAGCCATCCTCATAGAGCTGACCTTCCCTGACAGCTACTGGAGTGCCAGGTGCCTTCCATACATCATCTCATATCAAGCTTGCCAGCAACTTGCAAGGTCACCATCACACCCCCATCTCAGGAGTAAAGAACTGGGGTCCATCTTCGCCAAGCTAGAGAGTGGCAGAGGTGAGATTTCAACCCCTGTCCATCTGCTCCACAGGCCACATCTTCATAAGAGAAAGGTAAAGGGACAAGGGGCGTTTACAGAAGTGTCTCGCAGCCCCAGACGTACCCCCCAGAGCGGCAGCCTCAGCATTACTGGGGAGCCTGTTAAAAATGCAGGCTCTCGGGCCCCACCCCACACCTACTGAATCCAAGCCTGCATTTTAACAAGATGCCAGGTGATTTCAATGCCTATTAAAGTTTGAGAAGCCCGCGCGTCTGGGCCCGTGGTCCGCCCTCCGCAGCCCTGGCTGAACACTAGAACCACCTGGGGAGCTTTGCAAAACGCTCCGGTCCCACCCCCGCGGTTCAGCTTTCATAGGGCTGTGTGCAACTGAGGCATCAGAGGGCTTCGCGTCCATTTTATTCTGTGTTGAGCTCCCCAGGTGCTTCTAAGGGGCAGCAAACTTTGAGACGCCCGTCAGTAAGAAGGGAAAGGCTGAAGGCTGTGCAAGGTGGAAGCCACCGGCGACTCGCCGTCTGCTCCCAAAGCACAGCGACGCAGTGAGGGAGGGGTGAGTAGTGGGCGGCCGGGGGGACCCAGTGCCGGGACAGGGACAATCTGGGTTTCCTTCCCGCCGGTGCGTGCGGCCGGACAGACACCGGCTGCGGAAGGACGAGGGATAGGAGACTCCTTCTCAAGAACCCGGACTGTCTGGACGCTGGGAGGCCGCTTCGGGTGAGTTTGTGGGGCCCCCGTCTGCGCCGAGAGCCCAGCGCCGGGCGAGCGGGGGGGGGGGGGGGGGGGGGGGGGCAGTGAGCAGCGCGCGCAGGCGCAGAGCCTCGAGGCGCGGGACTAGGCGGTGGCTCCGGCTCCGCTGCGGCTGGGCGGGGACAAGTCCGAGGGCGGGGGACCGGGTGCGGCCGGGAGAGCCTGCGGGCGTCCGCGGAGGGCCCAGCCTGCCCGGCAACAGCCGCCCTCCGATGCCGCCTCCGGGAGGGGGGCCGCGGCAGGCCGGCAGGTGCGGCGCGGCCCCGGCAGGGCGCGTTCGAGTGGTTCTTTGTTCCTTGTCCGGCGCGGCCCGGGGCCTGGGCGCCAGCCTGCCAAAGCTGAGTCACGGCCGACTGCTGGGTGCTGGCCGCACGGCCCCCTCCCGGAAGAATGCGTTTCTTTCCTGAAGCTGGCTCCCCTAATGAGACCGAAGGGACAAAAGCCAGAGAGGTGGCTTCTCTTCTACAAAGCCCTTCACTCGCCCTGTGCAAGTCCATATCCAAGGTCACACCCCCATCCCCCTCACCCCCGCAGCTGCTCTCACACAGCCCCGAGCGGGAGCCGCTGCCCCTGAGGATGCCGCCTCCAAGGGGATCATGACTTAGAAGCTCAGGGCAAAGCTTCTCGACAGATCTGTAGCGTCGTGGTTCAGGAAGGTTTCTCTGCGGCTGCTCCATGTCCCCACACCTGCCTGGGGTGTGGGGTCCAGGCTGAGTGGGTTGGCCGGGAGCCATTTGGAGGACCTGTCAGAAATGCGCATCCCCCAGTCTTGTTTGCGGAGGATGAGATGAGTAGAACTGGGGAAAGTCATAGAAACTGTATTTTTGACAAGTACCCTAAATTCTTTTTAAAGCATGTGGTCGGTAGATTTCACTTGAGAGTGGCTGAGTTTGTAGAAGTTCCCCAGAACATAGATGTGTCAACCACAAATGGGCGTTGTTGAATAACGAAGTGCAGTTTGCCTGGGGAGATACAATTCGTGGTTGGCAGAGGTGGGAGTCAGGCCAGGGTCACAGAGCCCCCAAGCTTGTGTTTAGTTTCTAAGCCCAGGTCAAACCTAGCCAGCAGGGATTCCCAGGGAGCTTCTCAAGAACCTCCTTTCTTCTTTTGTGGGCTTGAATACCCTGAAATAAAAGGTTAGCTGGCAGTTTTACACCTCTTAGCTTTATCAGGATGTCTTTCCAATTTGGTATGTGGATTTGGGAATACTGGAGCTTAAGTCCCCATCAGCCACTAACGCCACTAGCCCCCCGAAGAATCTGTTATGTCTAGACAGATGTCAGCTCAAATGGATTGTTAGATGATCTCTACTTTAAAGCTGCTAGTCTATCACAAAAAGATGAAAAATTTACTGAAAATTAGGCTGAGGAATAAATTTATCCCCTTGGTGGGCAAATGTTATCCTGTTAACAGCTCATAATGGGGGGGAAAAATGAGCACGTTGTATTTTCTAAAGTGAAGGCAGATGACCTTGGCTCAAATCTCAGCTTTCCCACTTATTAGCTGGTAATCTTGAGTAAGTTTCTAACTTCTTTGTGCCTCAGTTTCCTTAACTGCAAAATGTAGTTGTGAATATTTATTTAATACTTCCCGCTTCCAGGTATAAGATTTGCAACTGTTATCTTGTGTATTTCCCATTTTACAAATGAGGAAACTGAAGCTCAGAAAGGTTAGATACCAAAGTCACCCCCTCTTGACATGTATTTTCTTCTTCCCTGTTGACCACATCTCTTCATTGCCTCCTTGCTCCTGACTGGCTGTCAGACAATAACTGTTCATGTTCTCATGAGTGCACTATAATGGCTAACACTTTTAAAAATTATTTTTATTTAATTTATTTTTTAAATTTACATCCAGGTTAGCATATAGTGCAACAATGACCTCAGGAGTAGATTACTTAGTGCCCCTTACCCATTTAGCCTATCCCCCCTCCCACAACCCCTCCAGCAACCCTCTGTTTGTTCTCCATATTTAAGAGTCTCTTATGTTTTTTCCCCTTTCTGTTTTTCAGTTATTTTGCTTCCCTTCTCTTATGTTCATCTGTTTTGTGTCTTAAAGTCCTCATGAGTGAAACCATATGTTATTTGTCTTTCTCTAATTTCACTTAGTATAATACCCTCTGGTTCCGTCCACATAGTTGCAAATGGCAAGATTTCATTCTTTTTGATTGCTGAGTAATACTCCATTGTATGTGTTTACCACAGCTTCTTTATCTATTCATCCATTGATGGACAATTGGGCTCTTTCCATACTTTGGCTATTGTTGATAGCACTGCTATAAACATTGGGGTGCATGTGCCCCTTTGAACCAGCACACCCGTATCCCTTGGGTAAATATCTAGAAGTGCAATTGCTGGGTCATAGCATAGTTCTATTTTTAATTTTTGGAGGAACCTCCATACTGTTTTCCAGAGAGGCCGCACCAGTTTGCATTCCCACCAGCTGGGCAGAAGAGATCCTCTTTCTCTGCATCCTCACCAACATCTGTTGTTGCCTGAGTTGTTAATGTTAGCCATTCTGTCAGATGTGAAGTGGTATCGCATTGTGGTTTTGATTTGCATTTCCCTGATAATGAGTGATGTAGAGCATTTTTTCGTGTGTCAGTTGGCCATCTGGATGTCTTCTTTGAAGAAGTGTCTATTCATGTCTTTTGCCCATTTCTTAACTGGATTATTTGTGTTTTGGGTGTTGAGTTCAATAAGTTCTTTATAGATTTTGAATACTAACCCTTTATCTGATATGTCATTTGCAAATATCTTCTCCCATTTGCTGGTTGCCTTTTGGTTTTGCTGATTGTTTCCTTTACTGTGCAGAACCTCTTATTTTGAGGAGGTCCCAATAGTTCATTTTTGCTTTTGTTTCCCTTGCCTCCAGAGATGTGTTGAGTAAGAAGTTGCTCTGGCCAAGGTCAGAGAGGTTTTTGCCTGCTTTTTCCTCGAGGATTTTGATGGCTTCCTGTCTTATATTTAGGTCTTTCATCCATTTTGAGTTTATTTTTGTGTACGGTGTATGAAAGTGGTCCAGGTTCATTTTCCTGCATGTCACGGTCTAGTTTTCCCAGCACCACTTGCTGAAAAGACTGTCTTTATTCCATTGGATATTCTTTCCTGCTTTGTCAAAGATTAGTTGGCCATAACTTTGTGGGTCCATTTCTGGGTTCTCTATTCTGTTCCATTGATCTGAGTGTCTGTTTTTGTGCCAGTACCATACTGTCTTGATGATTACAGCTTTGTAATAAAGCTTGAAGTCTGGGATTGTGATGCATCCTGCTTTGGTTTTCTTTTTCGAGATTGCTTTGGCTGTTCGGGGTTTATTCTAGTTCCATATTAATTTTGGGATTGTTTGTTGTAGCTCTGTGAAGAATGCTGGTGTTATTTTGATAGTTATTGCATTGAATATGTAGATTGCTTTGGGTAGTGTTGACATTTTAACAAAATTTCTTCTTCCTATCCAGGAGCATGGAATGTTTTTCCTTTGTTGTGTGTCTTCTTTAATTTCTTTCATAAGCTTTCTATAGTTTTCAGTGTATGAATTTTTCACCTCTTGGGTTAGATTTATTCCTAGGTATTTTATGGTTTTTGGTGCAATTGTAAATGGGATCAACTCCTTGATTTCTCTTTTTGTTGCTTCTTTCTTGGTGTATAGGAATGCAATTGATTTCTGTGCATTGATTTTATATCCTACAACTTTTCTGAATTCATGAATCAGTTCTAGCAGTTTCTGGTGGAATCTTTTGGGTTGTCCATATACAGTATCATGTCATCTGTGAAGAGTGAAAGTGAAAGTTTGACACACACACACACACACACACACCCACCCACCCACCCACCCCCGGCTGATTTGGATGCCTTTTATCTCTTTGTGTCGTCTGATTGCTGAAGCTAAGACTTCCAATACTATGTTGAATAACAGTGGTGAGGTGGGCATCCCTGACTTGTTCCTGACCTTAGGGGGAAAGCTCTCAGTTTTTCCCCATTGAGGATGATGGCTAACTTTTTTTTTTTTTTTGAGCAGTTACTATGTCCCTTAAACTAGTGTAAACACTTTACTTAAATTAATTAAATTCTTGCCACCCTCCATGAATGAGAATTGTCTTCATCTCCCTTTCTCAGGATAGGAAACTGAAACAGAGGTATTTGAGATCACACTGCCAGGAAGGGGCAAAGCCAGAACTTCTGTGCAGGGCTCTGGCTTCCAGGTCTGGGTACCAAACTGCTATACTGTGCTGCCAGTTACATGTATTACATGCGAG